GGTATGCATGGAATATTTTAGGTTTTTACAGTGCAGTATATGCCTGTATTTCTTAAGTACCTAGATAATAATTTCCTTTTCATTCTTGTGTTCATGACGCTGGAAAAACAACTGCAAAAATATTGACTCCCTACAAAAATCAGGTGCCCATTGACAACTTCCTATTCCACCTTCAAAGACGAGTTGACGCAAATCAATTCTTTTGAACACAAAGACAAACCGCACACGAACTTCACGGAACTGCTTTGTATAACTGGGCAAGTCAGCACACGTACAACACCGGAACGCGCGTACGCAGTTTTGCAGCTTCAAAGAGTATATGATTAATTGTACGTGCAAATTAAATCCATCTTAAAATTAAACATACGCACTATCATATCATTGATGTCCGGTGTTCAATTATTTGCAATATTATAGTATTTGCAAGTTTGTATTGTCAGAAATCTCGCAGTAGTTTGAAACTTACCAGCAAAAATTGCAATTGGTTTTCCTTGGTTTGCCGGTTTTAATCTAATTTTGGAAATGAACTGCTTGACAATTATTTAGAATCATATAGAACTATACAGGAAATACAATGTTCTTCTATGATAGAACACAAAGTATTGAAGAAGAAAAGTGTGTTGCAAATATAGGCAATCAACATACCACAATGTAAGATGCCTTGCCTAAGCGCCCGAGCGCTTCATTTGTAAATTATTGTATTTCTTGGAGATATAAATTAACAATACACAATTAGAATTAATTAATTGGTGTATTTGGGAAAAAGTGATAATATTTTTATCGCCCATCGGCTGTTATTGACCAGTTACGAGATTTTGTTACGCAAGGTTTTCATAAAATCAAACTTCGTTTTCGTGGGAATCTTTTTTCACTTGTTGATTTTTCTGTCTCAGTTTTCCTAAATCGACATTGAACTCTGTATACCGTTTCCGTATGCCAAGGTACTTTTTTACAATTGTAACATACAAAGCGTTCATTTCAAAACGAACCAACATAATTTGCAATTTTGATAAAAAATCAAAAATTTCAGAAAAACACTTCCAATTAGATTCTCTATGGGAAGATGAAGGGAAGATTTCTCTTAGTGTTAACCCCCCCCCCCCCGTACTCCCATTTACTTCCACTTTAAAATTATAATGTACACCTCCACCGAAAGTAACAACTCAAGATGCCATAAACTTCGCTTTATGTATTTTATTTAGTGGATGTGGGGGAGTGGCCATTCTATGCAGCCAAAGAATAATGTGGCGGAGCCCCATCTTGCTGAAAGTGGAAATTTCCTTCGTCTAGCTAGAAGCATGCCTTCATTGCAATTTTTTGCAAAGTTGGTCCAATACTGTGATCTTTTGCTTGTTTAGTGTGAATTAGAAAGGTGCAAATGCTCCATTGTTTTTTGAATTTTGCAAGACATACCCAACATACTTTCGTTCATTTTCGCTATGCAGCGGTATATTCCCGCGTTACCATTTAATCTCTCTGGGGAGAAAATTGATACTTTAGTCTCTTAAGTGGACCACAAAATATGTTGGTTTAGTGAATTTTTGAAACCCTAGAGGCGGATTGGACGATCGCTCAATGAATGCAAAAACTGAAGATGGACTTTTTAACAAGATACGAAAGAGAGTCCGCGCTAGACTAGTGACAGAGACAAACAAGGTGAAGCTAGAGCGAGTAGGAGGTATGAGACACGTAGTTTAGATTTTGTAAAATTATCAAAGTACTCGTGTGAGATCGAAGGGACTTCTGCGTATTTTTGTGTGACAGATCAGTATTTAATTAGCTACTATCAATAAGATCTTGTCGAAGGCTACCTTCCCTTTGTCGGTACTCACTTTCAACGTCCCGTTCACCCGCAATTCGCATTTTCGTGGATTTGGCTAAAAAACCCTCACAAAATAATACTCTATTTTTGGGGCACTTCTCATACCTCGAGCTTCTATTGGGGACCGCGATTCGTGCTCTAAGAAACTTTTGGGCGCCCAAAGGCGACTATCCACCATAAGCAAGATCTTATCGGGGGCAACCACATTCCCTTTGTTGGTACCAACTTCCGACGTCCCGTTCACCCACAATTTGCGTTTGAAGTGTAGACTTCACCATCAGTAAGATCTTGTAGGGGATTATCACATTCCCTTTGTCGGTACCCACTTTCGACATCCCGTTCACCCGCAAATCGCATTTTGGTGGATTCGCTATAAACTCCACAGAATAGTGATTAATTTGTTGACTCGAACTTTTAGTATCGAAAAAGAGAGACCGCGATTCGATTTTTAAAAAGCTTGTGAACGCCAAAATCGACTACCCTAGAAGACGCGCGCCTTGCAAAAGGTGGTTAATTCCGCTCCTAGGAAAAAAAATACAAAATTCCGTCATGCAGGAATCGTGCGTGTTTTCAAGATCCTTCCATCGACTCCAATTTGAAAACAATCGGACCAAAACTGTAGAAAAAGATAGAAAAAAACGAAAAATCACCATGTTAGTATAACACGCTCGGGGATGGCGCTCAGATGTCGCCGATTAAAAACCAAATCCCATCCCTAAAGTTATTAATTACACGCCACCGGTAGGTAGATGTACACTTCTCGTCTTTCTACAAGCCGGCCGGCCAAAGTGCAATTAAAATTACCTTTTAACAAATAAAATTGCATTGTAGGCAAGGACCAGAGCAGGGACCAGAGTTATCGCGATAAAGTAAGAGAAGATATCTGGGAAAGCGGGCAAGCCCCTAGCGCAAACGCGGATAAATGAGGATAGTAAGAAGAAGAAAGACACAAAAGAAGAGTGGTTTGAGGTACTTAGGTGGAGCAAGAAAGTTTTAAGGTCACCGGAACAAAACGAAGCGGAGGCTGAGCGAAAAATCATAAAGGGTGGACTGGTGGAGTTAAAAGGGGTGGAGAAATTAAATTGAGAGGAGAGAAGGCGGAAAGCATGGAAAAAGTAAAGTAAAATATGGATGGAGGGTGCAAAGTGATAATGAAAGAAAGAAAAAAGAGAAGATAAAGAACAACATAACTATAAAAAGTAAGGAGTAATGATCAGAAAGCGAAGAGAGATAGCACGGAGGAATGGCTGGCAGAAATCAATAAAAGAGAGGCCGGATGGGGGGCGGGGAGCGTAGAGAAGGAAACAGATACGAACAGCAGAAGAAAGGAGCAACGCCTAATGGAGAAAATAAAGAACAGTTTACCGAGAGATGGAGGAAATTGGCAAAGAGGGGAAACAGAGCAAAAGGAGGCATTTGAACAGGAATAAGAAAAGATATAACGGAATGGTGGAATGAAGGAGGGGCTAATAGTGGCGCGAGATTGAAATGCCAAAACTAACCAAGAGGTAAAGAATGCAACAAAGAGGGGTAGTTATTCTGCAATGGACAGAAAAGAGAGGTTTGGGAATATTAAACGGAAATATGGAGGGAGATAGGTATGGGTAATACGCAAAGATGGGAGGGAGGTGGAGGTCGGTAATTGAATAAATACTTGTAAACGGAAAAATGTTAGAAGCAATAGAAGGGCTATGAAAACGACAGTAACGTGGAAATAGGTAAAGAAAGAGGCAGGGAGAGATAAAAGAAAGGAATTGTGGGACAAAGAGTGTACAGAAAAAAGAAACAGATTGAGAACAATCATAGAGAGAGAAGGAACGAGAGAAATAGAGGAAATGGTGAGAGCACAGAAAAAAAGTACAAAAGTAAATGCAAGGAAAAAGATGAACAGAAAGAAACTGAAGGAGAAATCAGGAGAATAAAAACAGACAAAGACTTTTGGAAGATGATAAACAGAGGAAAAGGGAAAAACACATTCAGTGAGAGAGATATACAAATAAAGGACTGGAAGCACCGCTTTATGAAGGTACTACAAGAAAAGCAGGAGAAGGAATGTGGGAAAGAGGAAGAGGGAAGGTAGAAGGAGAACAGATATCAAGAGATGGAACAACAGTGTAGAAAGGTAAACAAGAAATGAGGAAAGAGTATTGAGGAAAAACTGAGGGAACTAATAAACAAGTTAGGTATGCAAAGGAGGAGGACTACCGGAAGAATGGAAGGAAAGGGTAACAGTGTCGATTTGCAAAAGAGGAGAGACTGTATGGAAAATTATAGGAGAATAACGCAATGATACTGAATGCAAGATTATAAAGAGAAATGGAAGAGAAAAGAGATGAAGGAAACACAAGTGGGCTTTAGGAAAGGGATGGGGAACGATTGACTGTTACACACAGTGGTGGAAAAGGAATTTGGAAAAAAAGCGTGGAAAGGTGATAGCGTTTCATGGATCTAAAGGCAGCGTAGAAGGGGAAAAATAGACAGAAGCTTAAAGGAGTTTTTATGGAAGTAGGACGAAGGGAAGAAGTCTAAGGTGGTTCTAGACAAGAAGAGGATTGAGACAGGGATCGCTGCTCCTTAGCACAACCTGTTATTCAATTTCTACATAAATGAAAGAAATTATGGGAAGAAAAGAGAGGTATTGGAAAAGAAAAGGAATGGAAATAAATGTGGAAAAATCGAATATGGTATTTCGGGAGGAGAAAGGTAGGAAAAGGGTAATAGTGGAAGGAGGAAAGGGTAGAGGAGGTAAGAAAATTTCAACACTTAGGATACGAAATGCAACGTAATAATGGGGCAAAATGCCCAGATTTTGTTTGAAAGATCAAGCAGATTTGGAAAACGAGTTGCCCGAACGCTCACTCTGTGGTACGAATTTCGTACCCTACGAAATTGTCCAGGTGGGGAACAATGGGAAATGAGTCTTAATTATTCATTATTCCATGTTTACTACTTTCGTTTTTTGCATCTTATTTTTAAGTTGTGCATTCGTATGAAAGGATTTGTACTTTGGATTACCTTGCCCGCCGTAGGTGTCAAGTGCACAATACATTAGAGCAGCATGTGAACACCCTGCCACTAATTCGTATTGTAGATAACTTGTGGTTAATTAGTCTTGCGTGGTAGAGGTGGAGCAAGTAATATTAAATGTAAAGTTGAACAAGGTCAACCACATATCCATGGAAATTCCACTTAGTGTAGCTTCCTTCGGTATACAAATACAACGTACTTACATTTTGTGTCAATTAATAAGTACGTATTAAAGATAAATGAACAGTTCAAAAGTTCAAGTAATGTAAGTGAAATAATGTACACATTTGCGTTTTTGAGTTTTTGGGCGTTTTTCTTAACGGTGAATTCGCAGCTATGCGTGGAATCGTCTTTTTCGGTAATACCTGTACGATTGTATTACAATAGGAGTGAGAATATTGTCGATAAAAGGGTGAGCAGGTGTTTAAGCCCAAGCACGGTTCCTAATTACGATGAGGCTGGATTCCTGGGGATCAGAGTGGCCGATCAGTACATTCCGAATCTGAACAAGGGTGTAGTGTCGGGGTTTCGTGGGACCTTCAGCGTTGACTTTGAAGATAACCACATCGAAACTGTAAAACGAGAGGCATTTTTCGATCTACCCGGAGTGCGATCGATTTCACTGATATCCAGCAGAATCAGGTGGTTCGAGACGAGGGCGTTCTCCGACCTCCCCTCACTGGTTTACATCAATTTGGAAAAGAACGACATATCCTCACTTCCGCCTGGCGTTTTTGATAATCTCCCAAATTTGGAACGACTAGTCTTGAGTGAGAATCAGTTAACGGCTTTTAAACCGGAATCGCTGAGGCGAGTGCCAAACTTGCAAGTGATTGATTTGAATTTCAACAGCATCACTGAGCTTCGTACCGATTCGTTTTCGTCAGTGCCCTCGTTGAGAAATTTAAATTTATTAGCCAACCAAATCAGTGAGATACATCCCAATGCGTTTAGGGGTCTAAAAAGTTTACTTTTACTCAACTTGGCCGATAACAACATAAAGGACCTGAACATTAACTTTGACCTCATCTCGAATTTGGCGGTTTTAGAATTGGAAGCCAATCTGATTAATTACGTGCCCGAAAAGCTTACGAGAGATCTACCGTCGTTGAAAACGTTCAGTATTTACTCCAACCCGCTGCAGTGTTCTTGCTTGAATCAATTGGCAAAATTGAGTTTTGACAACAAGTTTGCGTTACATACTCATTGTAATGATAACCTTCCGATTTGCGTCGACCCGATAACTTATCCATCGAAGTGCATTCCACGAAGCGCAAAAGATTTTCCGAGCAACATGCCCAATTTTAAAAGTTTTTTCAAAAAGTGTACCATTTAGTCTATTCTCTTGTTTGTATTAAATGTAAATAAATTGTCAATTGACAGTGTGTTTAAGTTTGAAATAGTGGTAGTTTCCCTTCCATCGTCAGAAGCGGATTAAGAGTGAGTACATCAAGCGGTCTCAAAATTTGTCCTCCCTGAAAAATAAACTACACGTGCAACTCTTCGAACGATAATCTGCCTCTTGATTCAGGATATGAATAATAATGTATTAAATGGGAGATTCCATTGTTGCAACAATCTGCAAACTCCCTAAGAGCAGCCACTGTTTCTGAAAAAATTTAAAAAAATACATCGGGCAATTACAAATTGTGATTCTAAGAACTTAGTTTCTTTTGTGAGGTCTTTTCTAACCGGGAAAAAAAGAGAAAAAACTTGGCAAATACTTATATAAAAAAAATCGGTCTTTTACGACTACAAATCAGATGGTGGTATTTCTTAGCCTAAAGCAAAAAATTATTTATGTAATTCCGAGCGTAACTCCATTCTTTTGTAGGTATTTGCTCGTAGATTAATAATTAATTACAATTGCCTACACTACGGGATTATTTTCAAACATATTTAAATAAATTTATAATACGAGTATGTTGTATATCTCTGATACAATGAGTTGGATTAAAATGTAAAAATTAATAAATAGATATGATGAAGAAAATAAGGTAGGTGTCTTTTTTTAGGCAGTCCTGCGTTCAACGCATTCATTGAATCAACAAATCATCTGTTTCCCCATTTTGTAATGCATTCATAATTCAATAATGCCTGATGTTTGTGTCGATTGCCGAAAAAAATTAACATTATCTTAAATTCTGCATTATCTCTTATTTATTTATAATACAGATAAGGTGGACGTCGTCAACAAAAATATATTCGTATCTATTGACGAGCGATCGCGACGATAAAAATATTTTGTTTGTAACAAAACAAATTGCATGTATGAAATGCTCTTTTAAGATTTTACTACTGAAGTACCCTCGGAAGTACCTATTTAAGTGTATTTTTTAATTTTTCGGGGATTTTTGTTCATGTTTAGGCATTTTGGGTGTTTATGGGTATAAGTATAAAGATGCATTTCAGGAGTTTTCTATAATAAAAGGTACCGCGAGAAGAAACGGTTTTCCGCCAATTCTTCAATTTAATATAGTAGGATTGCGCTTCGGATGGCGTCGAAGATTGCATATTATAAACATTTTTAGATTACATATACCTACCCGCTGGATAGAAGCCCTAAATTTTGCATGAAGATTATCAAAACTGACAAATACCTAATTTCCGAAGGGTCAGCGGGATCCCCTTTTATAAGGGTTCGAGCGGGTTCGAAACCCCTGAATTTTGCCATTTTTCTCAGAAACCTGAATTTCTACACAATTCTTTCCCCACTACAATTTTGTGGGCCGTGAAAAGACTTTCAAAACAGTACCATACACGTATACCTTCCACTTCTGGTTGCTGATGCAAACCGGACGTTGTGCAAGCGTAAAACTCACATGTACCGTTTTAAGGCGGCATTTTTGAATATTACCTGAAAGAGTTCGTCATGCTGAAAAAGACCACACTTGTTTAGTTACGACACGCTCCTGCGAGTAAAAGTAGAGTATAAGTTATGGCACCCAAAACATACCTGGATTTTTGAAATCTATTTTTTGCTCACCCCCAGGCAATCCGCTTATTGTTTCACTTTTCTCCAGTAAGTGTTTTGGTTTATTTATTTACGTACTCTGAGGGGAAGTGACCTATCCAGTACTCGACCCTGGCACATTGTTCAAGGGAAAATTTGTCCGGAACATCCAGCCCTAGAATTTTCCACGTTAACGTTAATTTTTGTTTAATCAAGTCTTCCCGAACGTAAATTTGCCTTGGAACAAGATCCGGACTAATGAGTATTCTGACAGAGAAAGGGCTAAATTTTTATTAAGAGCGAACATGACATGCGGCACAGCTTCCGAGAGTTAATATTCCCAGTGAATCTTTAGAATATTCCGGCAACGAATAATTTACCTGGCATTTCACAGATATGTTACACTTTTGTAATAATTGCGCATATACAATAGAGTATTTTTACCAATAAACAGAGAGCCTAAAATATTCTCAGCAACAATATTTTCCGGTTTAGAAATCACCGTAAATACGAACAATAATGGACATTTTCACTAATAAAGGTAACCTTAAATAACCCTTAAATAAAGTTTATTTCACGGACAGGGAATATTATTGCGAAATACCTTTAAAATGAATAATTATAATTTTTCTAGGGCACGTCCAGTCTCTGCCAAGACGAAAATATTAATATTGAAGTATTTAACGAGATATTTAATTAATTTGAAAAAATCAGCGGCTTTACTGCCTCTAAAATTCCAAAGAATTAATTAACAAATTTTCAATTATACCTAATGTAATTCTGAGTACGAAATACAAAAATGTACCTAACATGAGAAGTCTGGGTCGTTATTTGGAGTTGATTAATCACAAAACCAACCATTTACAGATGAAAAAATGTATTCAATTTAAAACAATCAAATAAGCTGGAAGAAAAACAGGCAGTCAGGGGCGGACTAACGCATACCACGCAACACGCGAACAAATAATTGAAGAAATTTTAAAGTGTCAATAATCCAAAATCCCAGGTCGTAACTGCGATTTACAATAAATTACGCACAAACACAAAAGACCAAGTGAAATTACTTCGAAACTTCACTTCTCAACTATTTAGAGTATTTAGACGACACTATGGATTCATTGTAATTACAATAATTATATTTTTATTTGTTTATTATTTATTATTTTAACTGAAAACTTGAACATCTTAAAGATAAGCTTCTCCTCAACTACAAACGCTCCATAACCACCGCACTCAGAGAGTATCTATTATTTGTGCGTCCGTCCGTCAGTCCGTCCGTGTGGGCTAATGCTCTGTTCCAAAGTGGTCGATCGTGTTGCAATTTGGTGTACCTACCTACTTTGGACATTACTACATTAAGGTAGCACGCTATTGATTTTCAGGAAGCCGGACCAACAAGAACAAAAGCGCTAGGACTTCGGGTGAATCGGGAACAGCAAGAACTGTGGACTCAATATAATAGAAATCAACATAAACCACTCGCCAGGAAAGATTGCCGGTCACAGAACACTTGATCCTGGTCTGCAATCTATGTTTTTCTAAAAATGTGAGCGATTTTCGGGAGTATCATGTCAATGTTGAACAAAAAGACTTTTCGTTCAACATTGGCACGATCCTATTCCGGAAGTCGCTCGTATCTTAAGAAAAACATAGATTGCAGATCAACACAAGGGGGTGCTGTGACCGGCAATCTTTCCTGGCGAGAGTTATATTTCATTATCTTCTGACTTTCGCTAGATTGTTATTCTCTACGGCTCTTAGGATGTGTAACAATTCAATTTAGCTCTTCTCTATAGCCTAGATTGAAAGTTTTAAAGAAAATAAATGTACCGTAAATTATTCTTTACCATCAATTTGGAGTTTTTAATAACCGCGTGTGTTTGATTCCAAAGATGTTAAATTTTTTTCTGAACCACATGTATTTTGACCAAAATATGTCAAAATCGTTATTCATGCACCAAAATCGTTCGGAAAAAATCTAAAATCATTACTCTCAGTGCCCAAGACGTGAATGCAAAACGCCTTAAAATAGTTCATTCCAAATTTTATATCTTACAACATATGCCGTAGGTTCAAAGTTGCTAGGTCAAAAAAATGACGGTAATACTGTGGATCCTTTAATATTCTGTTGAATCGGTTTATTAATTTTATTATAGGTCAGTTTGTATCGTCGCTCGTATCGGAATCAATAAAATCGAATAACGAATGCAAAACAAGGAAAACCTCCAAAAATTATTCTTGATTTTTATACGTCAACATTCATGGTGAAATATCAACGCCAACCACACTTGGAAAATTCCACCGCCATCTTAGCTGAAATCAATCACGTAATTCTACCTACGTTATCTGGTGACCTACTTACATCGAAGTTCATTATTCTTGAAGTTTAACTGCAAGTATTACGAAACCTTTTGGAGGTTATTATTATTACTCTCGTAAATCGCTCCGATTTATTTGATTTTACGTACATCGCCTTTCGTCGTTACCGAAGATTTCACCCGTTAACAAGACCCGATTTGATGTACATTACCTACGACTACTTTTGTGACTCCGACGTTACTTGTGCCATTCAGAAGAATTTCTGCATACTATTTTATGAACATTGTGAATGAATTAGATCATTTTTGTGATAGAGAAATGCATCGTAATGTAGTTTTCTCGAAGCCACATTCGTGCTTTTATACACCGATTTGTATGGACAATCCGTGGTCGAGTCAAAATTTATCGAATATTAGTTACGGTTTTAGTACCAGATTTATCTGATTAGTGTCAGACGTTAGACATTGCTATCGCAGTATTATTGTGCCGCGTTATTCACTATCCTTCTTGTTTGTTTGTTTGTTTGTGTTATCTGTTACAGATAAGGCAGAAAAGCGCACTTCTGAGCTCAAAAAGCCGTTACAACCAGAGTTCAAAGGTAATTACTTTTATCTTCGTCGACTCCTTAATATGACGTTTAATTATTACATGGTGTTTCTTACTACATTTGTTTGATAGTCTGTTTGAATATTGACGCTGACTACGAGTTGATTTCCCTATTCTCTAAAAATTAATTTAAATTTAATCTGACATTTTAGATCTAGATATTACAGTGTCCTATTTGTAATACTTTCAGATCATTACCTTCGATTGTGAGCACAATTATTGTTTACGTTCTATCTCTCTCTCTCTCGTCTATCTCGAAATGGATTAATTTATAACAGTAAATTAGTATTTCTCACTAACAATTTATAACATGACATGAGCGCGAACTATTTTTTACTTCAGTAACGCTGTTAAAACTCCCTGAAGCATAATTCGATTTGCTCGTATAGCAATCGCTCATCTTTCTTGAAAGTTCTCGAACGCTTCCGAATATTCTGGAATCTTCTCGAACAAGCACGTCATATTTCTCGGAAAAAATGCGTCTTCTTATCGCCGATGACCAATCTT